ACTTAAAAAAAAACATATTTTTTATTAATAACAATTTCTATGTCATTATTTGACTATTTTCGTTTCAAATGTGCGACTTTTGATGAAATTTTTTATATTACAGCTTCGCATACAAGTAAATATTTTAAAGACAGTTTTTCAAATTGTTTGAAACATAGTTAAAAGAATTTAAATTTCATCGTTTGAAATATTTTTCAAATTTCTACCCTTACTTGTTTTWGAAGATACAACACTAACTATGAATCTATGTTTTATTGTTTTATTATTATTGTGACAAGATTCAATAGGTGTAAATGAACAAATATAATTTAACCTTTAACTTAATTTTTTAATAGCACAAGGGATCGAAAATATTTTGGGAAGAAGCATTTAAAGTGAAACTTTTTTTCCATCGCCTCAAATTTTTTCGTCCATCTATCGCATGGCGCATCAGCTGACCGTGTAGCATTTATATTCTTACTCATTCGTGCAAGTGCTCCGCGATATTTGTGTGTTCTGATCGGTGTATTGATGTATTGTGTATTAATCCGAAAAAAAGTGTCACTTGCATCGTGGTTTCTTTAAACTATAGCAGTTTTTTTTCTAATTCATTGATAAAACACATTTGAATTAAAAGACAAAAAAAGTAAGATCAATCATCAATATGTTACAAAAACTTTAGACAATTAATATTCAGCTGTACCCACACATTGTATAATAAGTAGGATTGCTTTATTTTTGGAACACCTATGGTCCAAAATCAATTCAACAACAATCAAACTTTTATCAAAAAAATTGAATTGTGTGTGAATAAAGGTTTTACAAACCAATGATTTTATTTTATGATTTTAAGTGGGTAATTCTCTAAAATCTCTTAAGGCTATTTTTCCAACTTATGAATTACGATTGGCTAATTTACAAAGAAATTAATTATTATTAATTTTAATAATTTGTATTCAWGCATTCAGCCATGTTCCCAGTTAATAGTATAATTAAACAGTTGTTTCTATTAAGAAAACTTGATTCAATGCTTTGTCAAGTCTTTCAATGACATCAGGAAATCCATCAACCTTAATATCTAAAACCAGTGAAAGTGTTTTTAGTTACCACAATACGAAAAAAATTAAAATTATTTGTAACTGGCATTATTATATTTTGCCGACTGGTGTGTAATAAAACGTCCAAGATKTTACACAAGTCTGTTATTAAAAGAACGACTCCATAATAATCTCCCAAATGATTTGACATTTTTGGAAGTCATTAAATTAAGAAAGTAACTTTTTGGTATTTGGATTGGAACCGCCAACTCCACATTTGTATCATTGGCAAATTAGAAATCAACAATTTGCTTAATCATCGTGGTAATTACTGAATCTTTATGAAACAAACAATTCAAACGTATTTTTCATGACAAAGAATAAACATGTTTTCAGCAGAGTTAACAAGATAATAATTTAAAGTTAACTCACCTCCTGTTCCAAGAACTTTGAGCAGATCGAAGTGGGACATATTGACTCGGTCCACTCCTGATAGATTAACTGRAACAATAAATGAGATGATTTCATTAATGCACGAACTAATTACATATTAATTAGCCATATGCACTTTCTCTCAAAAATTTCACCATACTCGGCCGCCTAATTTGCATCAACAAGTAAACGGAAAATATGTAATCAATTCGTTATGTAAAATACCTCTATTCACAAAATTTAACCAAGTCCTCAATACCTTTTTAAGTAGGTAAGTGTAACTAACTTTCTGTTGCAGAATAAWGAGCTGAAAATTAATATTTATTCAGCTTCTGAGAGTAATGTGAGAAACGCCCAAAACACCAGCGCTGAAAGATTTACAACTTTTATCTTGATGATTCTGTGTATTGTCACAATGTCAAAAATTGTCAAGTGTAGTTAGTTTTAATCAATATTACCACACGAAAGTGGTATCAAATTCCTAAAAAGCCCAAGTCCGATAATGGCTATTTTATTGGGTCATTTATCATAATACACAACATCTTATGAACTGGACATGCTGGAATGTTATTGTAGCAGACCCTATTAACATGATTGATTTAAATATTTCACTGCATCGAAGAGTTACTGCTATAAATACATTCTCTAATTAAAGATCGTAGATTATCGTGCAAAGCAGAACAATGTTGACACTCGAACAGCAACTGTCGTATTATTATTATTAACTCTGAAGGTCTATTTTGGCACGTGCAACATTGAGCCAGTTCAAGGCTTAAAAATCGCAAAACGCACTCAATTTTAAATCATCAGTCAGCACTATCGCTCTGTAATAATACCTATACTTGTTATTAATGACAGATGGATCAATATTAATGCGGAAAAATCGACATTTATTTCGATCCATCACAGAAGGGGTCTATTTTGCGACATCCTTTTGTGGGAGAGGTCTCCTCGACTAACCCCAAAACAACACAATTTTTAGAAAATGAAAAAATGTGGTAAAGCGAGTCGCAACTTGACAATGTTGAATGTGTAGCACTCGCGAAAGAGTCACTTCAGAAACATTATCTAATCATGCAATTCCTGGTACATAAATGTAGTTTATTTAACTGAATAAAATTTTTGATAACATATATCAGCAAAGCCGATTATTATTACGTTTTATTTTACATAAAATACATTATGATGGCATTTTGTCACTTCTGAATTTAGTAAAATTTCTGTCTGATCCAATATTAGTCACAATAAATGTTTAGACATGGCAACCATTTTCAATTCAAATGGAGCTTTAACAATATTTTTTGCAAATGAAATTCAATACAAAACAAACAGTGGTTCATTTACTTTTGTTTGTAAATCAAAAACAAACCCTAATACATACATAAAAGCATTTAGAATCATTGGACTGGTTCTAATACTAATACATAATATTTAAAAGCAATTAGTCAATCTGGTTAAGTAATTAACACGTTTTTTTTTATTTCGAGACTTAATCAAATAATTACCTAGTGTACTATAAATAGTAAACACTAATTTTTCACGTAAATACAGGGTGTCCCAGCGAGTTGAAAAAGTCCATTAGTGACCTTTAAATGGTAAAATTAAAAAAAAAGGTATAGGACATTGATAGATACTAATCTAGGACATCACCTAAAATTATTTTCAACCATAAGTGACACGATACAAATTTGTGTTTTTTTAAATAAAACACCGTATATTTCTTTGCATTTTTGGATGTAGCCTTTTAAAACAATGTTTTTACGCTAAACTTTTATTAGTCGATTTCGCTTAGTTTTAGAACTAGACGATTTTTTTGACGAAAATGTGCACTTTTTAAAAAATTATTACACAAAAACTAAGACAGCTAGAACTAATTTTTTCTTACTTCTGCAAAGAAGAAAGTACGGAATTTAAAGCTGTAGAAATTTTTTAGTACTTTGCAATCTCTTTTGCAACTGTGCACTTTTTGGCTACTGAAACAATAGTAATTATTTTTTTTTAATGTTTAACGTTAAATATCTTTTTAGTTATTGATTATAAACACCTGAAAGTAAATAATTTTAGAAAAACAGTATAATAATCTCTTAAATGCAAAAACAATAAATAGGGTGTTCCATTTAATTTTTTTAAGTTATTGAACTTTTAACAAACGGCTTTATTTTTTATCTTTGCAAATACAACACACTAAAAAAATGTTACAACCTTATAGCTTGTACCTTCTTCTTTGCGGTAGTAAAAAAATATTTCTAGATGTTTTAGTTTTTGGGTAATAAATTTTTAAAAAGTGCATGTTTTCGTCAAAGAAACCGCCTTATTTTTAGAACTAAGCAAAATCGACCAACAAAAGTTTAGCTTAAAAACATTGTCATAAAAATCTACATCCAAAAACGCTAAGAAACATATGGTGTTTAATTTAAAAAAACACAAATTTGTATTGTAACTTATTTTTGAAACACGCTGTATAGTTCAAAATAATTTTAGGCGACGGACTAGATTAGTATCTATCAATGTCCTATACATTTTTTTTTAAATTTTACCATTTAAAGGTCACTAATGGACTTTTTCAACTCGTTGGAACACCCTGTATATTACAAATTGATGTCGTCTGATGACACGAGACGTAGTTTTAAAAGTTAATTACCCAATACCTAATGCCCACTTTCCCGGAAACTTAATCTTGTGATATCTTAAAATGTATTCATTTCAAGTTAATAGCTATTTGGTCATTCTGCAAATGTCTGTATTTACCCATTTTAAAGCTCAAGACAAAGGTTAAAACAACACACGCACTTATCAATTTGCCAAATATGTGAACGATAAGAAATTTCACAAAAATCCAAATCTACATGTGCGGAAGAAAGATCTTAACGATATGCTATCTTTTAATTGATCAATTATTGTGAAATATTTAGAAACATGAAAACAAAAGTAGTTTTGTTTCCTTATAACAAAGAAACTAAAAGTTTCAAGTTTTAGACTTTTTGTACTAAAATGACTGAGATTAATCCGTTTTAATGGTGTCACCAATCTAAACACCCTCTTCCTTTCATCCCGGAACAAAATAATTAGATCAACTTTCCATGACCAAGAACTCCACAATGGTTTCAATCTAAAGTATTAGAATAATAAACGACATTTCAGTCCATTATCAATATGRCAATTGCCACAGTATCAAGGAGGAAACACTAATTGTTTCTTTGCATTTTAACACTCGACATACATATTTATAAACAATTACAATGTAAATTTTTCCTCAACAAGTCTCAAAACCCATAGCCACACGTTTTTGTACTAATAAACGATTTGGAAATATCTAACGCAATTTATTGCTTACAAGGATATGAGTCAGGAATTTTCCAAAGAAAACATGGGATGTATCAAAGTGTTTTATTATTTAATGTGACTGTTGCTGTAGGACACAATAATTAATAAGTTATTAATTAAGAAACTTTTGGTGTATTGCAAACCTTGGAGTGTTTGCACACAATCCAAGGTTGGAGGTGTTACCTAATGTATTTAACTAAAAGTAAGGTCATCTGTAAAATATAAAATAAAATAACTGTAGATTTTCAATAATTTATGGCTCAGACAATTATATCTGTTTTAATTATTATTATCGCTTGGTAAAGGTGACAACCGCTACTAAGGTTTTTTGTTTTAACATTGTAATGGATTTTCATCCTTGACATCAATTAACTGTACCTAATATAAGAAATAAAAATTCCACTTTACCAGAAATTTCTGCAATTCCAGAAGATTTAAATTTTTACATTTAGAAAGTGAATAAATTTACTCGATTCTATTATTGCAAAAAGCGTAATATTCACATAATCAGAAACGTCCTTCAAACAAAATTAAAAATTTCTCACTATATCTAAAAACAATCAACAACTAGGACAACGGATTAAAAGGGAACATTTTTTAGTATCCTGTATACAAGAACTTTCTCTGCAAGGTAATAGAGTTACGTGCGTTTTTCCCTAATACCATTAATCATTACCTAAATTTGCTTTCAAAGTGACAGAATTCGAGATTCTTTCTTGGAAAGGTCACACATGTCTTCGACTCTTTTTGATATTAATGATCGAGTAAAGTGCAAGGAACACAATTAAAACATCATTAGTTTATCGCTTCCAAAATTAATACAGGGTGCGCCAGAACTCGCGCCCCAGCGAAAATTTTCAAGTAAGGTAAGATACCAGGAACATGAAAAAAATGTTTAAAATTCTATGTCAAAAAATTTTGACATAATTTTAGTTATTTTGTGCATATAAATGCTCTTTTCAGTTAAAAAATTAACTTTTTAAAAAGATTTTTTTTAAAACAATCCAAAAATTGTGTTGTTTTTAGTTTTGATAATCGTTTAGGAATAATTTTGAAGATGAACATTATTCTCTCCTTGTCAAAATTTACTTTTTGTGCAATTTTGCAAAAATTAGCTAGATAAATTACTCTGGGTCACAAATGACAATAATTTTGATATTTTCTAACAAAAAAATTACTATTTTGGTTAAAATTTGCGTTTTTATCACACTTTCAGTATAAAAATAATTATTCTGTATAAAATAATTTCTTTAAAAACTTTCTTGTTTTACAAAATTTTGCCCAAAATTGATCGAAAAATAACATACAGAGAAAATTTTTTAGAAAGATAAGATACCCGGAACATAGAAAAATTCTGTCAAAAATTTTTGACATTTGACATTTTTTATATCTATTTATACTGATGATCTTGTATACAGGTGAATATAAAGTATGGAACCAAGCGGTTTTATTTTTAATCATTTGCTTCCAGAAAATAATAATAAATACAAATTAAAGTAATATAAAAAAT